AAGGGAGGGGGGACTTGCGGGATGGGACGGGAGGGGGGGAGGAGGTGTGAGAGGAGAGAATGAGAAAGAAAATGAATGAGAATCAGGAGCTGGCTGCATTAGAGATGCCTGTGCTGCTCTGGTCGGTAAATGTACATTTTGGAAGGAATGGCTTTCATTTTTTCTTTTCAGTCCTACAAAGAAATGACTCCAGAAGACTTAAACTCCTACAGAAATACAAACTTGGAATGTTTGTTTAGTAATTTATTCCTTTTTTTTTTTTAAGATTTATTTAGTTTTGTTGGAAAGTCAGATATATAGAGAGGAGGAGAGGCAAGAGAGGAAGCTCTTCCGTCTGATGGTTCATTCCCTAAGAGGCTGCAACGGCTGGAGCTGAGCCAGTCCGAAGCCAGGAGCCAGGAACAACTTCTGGGTCTCCCACGTGGGTGCAAGGTCCCAAAGCTTTGGGCCATCCTCAACTGCTTTCCCAGGCCACAGGCAAGGAACTGGATGGGAAGCAGGGTCGCCGGGATTAGAACTGGTTCTGGGACCTAATTTATTCTTTTATACCTGGCTTTTGGCAGATCATACTGCCCGATGAATATTTGCTTGATACTATTGTTTCTGTAAATTTATGGTAATGGGCTTTTACAAGTGTGTTGGTCGGTGAAAGTATGTTCTGGATTATGGACTCAAATTGCATTCCAGATGTGTCTGAGTGGACTCTTTCTATTTTGTTTTTTTTTTTTTTTCTTGTTGGCTAAATATAGATCTGTAGATAGAATGGAAAGTATGTGATAATTTTGTTGAATTTTATTTTTTTCCTATGTGTCAACATGGAATTAGCATAGGAAAATTATTCTGAAAGTATGTAGGGTAGGCATTTGGCTTGACAGCTAAGGCCTTTCAGCCCTGTATCAGAATGGATCCTTTTATCCAGGTGTGCAGCAGAGGGCCTGGGTTCCATACTTGACCTTGGTTCTTGGCTCAGCTTCCTGCTCACCTGCGCCCTGGGAGAGCACAGGGATAGATTCCTCACAGCCATATGGGAGACCTGAGTCCCAGCTCGGCGAGGCCGCGTTCTGACCTTTGGTGGGCCTTTGGAGAGAGAACTACTGACCGGGAGCTCTTGGCCTCTCTCTTACTCTTTTTCTCTACTCAAATAACTAGTACAGTTAAAACAAAAAAATTTTTTTTAAAAATATCTACTAAGTTACTAGTAGAAACCAAAATATGTACTGTGAATATAGTTTTGTTTGATCCAATGAATGAAGTCATGATATAGAAAACTTCCCCTTAACACTTGTGAATGGAAAAATTTGCTGATTATTTTCAATAGAGTGAGTGTGATGGCAACAAATGCAATTCTGGCTGAAAAGATAAAATCAAAAGTTTGGCAGATTTACCTGTGAAGAACATTGCTTCATCAGCAAGTGATCCCGAGTCTTGCAGTGAAACCTAATTACTCTAGCTCAGTATCATTAGACAGCATTTTTAGCAGGTCAGGGAATAATGTACGATTTCAGGAGTCAGCATAATATGTTTCCATGCTCTTTAAAATTGTAACCATTACAATATATAGAAAATAATAGAAATGTGATCTGAAAAATTAAAGTATGTTAGAATCACTATAATTATAATTATATGCAATATGAGTTTTCATTGACAGTTAGAGGGATGAACTTGCTTATTGTAGGAATTTTTACCAGTCAGCCCTAAACTGAATAATTGCTTGCTGTCCACACTTGGCTATTTTTGGGGATATTTTTCCTGTTTTATTGTACAGTCTTAGGGAGCCCTAAAAAATGTTGCATTTTATGTTTTCGGTAATTATGTTGGTATCACAGGAAGTATGATCATTTAAAATTTATCTGAAAATCATTTCACCTTTATTCTAAGAGGCTTTCTGGACATTGGAATCTTTGAAGCAATTTAATCTTTTTATACATTTTGGGGTTAGGGAGTAATCCTTTCGGTAACGTTCTGTGTGAATATTAGTGGTTCTAATCGTTTTTGCCCTAAAACTCAAGAAGAAGGGGACTTTTCTCAAATTACGTAGTAGTTCGGTTGTTCTTTATGTTGCGCTCTTTGTGCTCGGCACCACCACTTCCTTGTTCTCAGAACTGTGTACTGTATGAAGTGTTGCAAGCAGACACACAAGGCATGAGAACGCTAAAAACACCACTGAGATTCATTGGCTCTTAGTTTTTGTTCCATTTGTTTGAGATTACTATTTGCTCTGTTACTGTATGTTAGAGGCACACATCAGGCATTTTACTAAAATTAGGATATTAAATTTGTGGCATTTCTGGTGTGAATTAATCCCAAAATACTGTTTAGAAAATAAATGAAATTAATGTATTATTGAAACCCTCATTCAGTTTTCTCTCTTACTTTCTGGACTAAAGTGAAGCAAGCTGTTGCCCAAGGGCCTCATTTGCCCTGCTGTCCTTCCAACTCCAGAACTGGGCCCCAAGTCTCTTTATTTGTTGCCCTTTTGCTACAGGTGGAACTCCTGCAAAGACTGTGCTGTGTTTCTGTTTACAGTCTCCTACTAAGTGTAGTTAAACAGCAGCTGACCTTGTTTGCTTGACCTTTTTAGTTTTAAATAAGAAATAACAGCATTGATCGTGTATACAGCATGGCCGTGTACCTAACCCCTCTGACCTTCACTGCTGTCGCAAAAACAGTATTGCAAAAAATAGTAGTAAAAATTAGCCTTGTGACAGATCAAAGTAGTCTCCACAGCAAACAAAGTGAAAACAAAAAAATGTCATGTTAAACAAGATATAGTGATAAGATGAAAGTCATTGATTTACAAAAAGCAAACAACAAACCCTAGAAAACAAAAACCATGCCTAAAACTCAGCCTTGTTTGAAAATATGTATAACCTACAAAGAAAACTAGAAAAATATAAACCAAATATTTTCCAGGAAAACCAAAATGTGTTTATTTTGTTACAAATTGAAAATAGGAAGATTGGGACCGAACATGATGGCTCAGTGACTAAATCCTCACCTTGCATACGCTGGGATTCCATAAGCTTCTTGTGTCCTGGCTGCTCCACTTCCCATCCAGCTTCTTGCTTGTGGCCTGGGAAGGCAGTCCAGGATGGCCCAAAGCCTTGGGACTCTGCACCTGCATGCGAGACCTGGAGAAGGCTCCTGGCTTCTGGTTTCAGATTGACTCAGCTCCAGCTGATGTGGCCACTTGGGGAGTGAACCCTGTGGTGGAAGATCTTTCTGTATCTCCTTTCTGCCTGTCCAATAAAAAGAAGAAGAAGGAAAAAAACGCCCGAAAATCGGAAGATTGTGTGTCTACAGATGAGGTTTTGAAAAATTCTGGACAAACATTGGGAAGATTTAAAAATGACACAGTGCTGTGACAGTGGGGTTTACAGTAGAGTGTAAACATGGAAAGTATAGTGTTGGAACTAAATGTGCCTGAACAAGAGGCTATTCCAAAGTGAAGCAAAATGAAAGAGCCAGTAGGTAGATCTTGTGGTTCAAATCAATCCCCAAAGCATTCCTAAAATTGCTTTATACTCCACTGGTGATTTGGTTTTGTGACTTGACTCGAAAGAAAACTGGTTTATATCTCATTAAATGTTTCCCAACTCATGCTTGTACCTATGGCATGCTATTTGTCCTTTATTTGCTGTGAGAGAAATGAATCTTTGAACTTAAGGAGAGTGTCAAGAATTCTTGACAGAACTATGGTTACATTGTTAACAAATTCAGAAAAATTTGATGGGCCAAAGATTCTAGCAAGTCTGAATGATACTGATTATGAGCAAGTAGAAATGAATTCCTTAAAAAAATGAATTCCTGTTTTATTCATGTTTACCACATTTTTGCTTTGAAGAATTGGCTTTAGCTGTGATTTAGTTGATTTTGCCTTTGAGTATATGGAATGTTTTGTTTTTCTACTGTGGCTAAAGGAATTTCAGATTAAGAGTTGTAAGCATTAAAATTAGCATTTTAGAGTTCTTTCTGAGAAACAGAAAAAACTCTTAAAGCTGATTGTGATTTTAGATGAGGCTAGTTTGAGTTTCAATTTCACATTTAAAGTTTGGCTTATATAACTTGAAAAATGCTAAGACCTTTAATGGTAATAAAACATGGAATGAGCGTGATTACACATGAGCCCTTGCAAATGGTGAGCAGGCAACACCCTGTGGTCATTGGTTTTATTCTTAGTAACCATCAAAATATTATGGATATGGTACAGTAGTTCACAGTGCATGACCCCTCAGAGTTGTTCTAAGGAACAACGCTGGAAAATGTGCAGTCCAAACATTATCTGTAGATGGGATAAATATTAGGCCTGCTAGATACATGAGGCGTTATGCAAATCTTTATTCATTTTTGTGAAAAATAATTGTATTATTGAATAATTAAGGTGTTGATTTAATCATTGGCTGGTAAAAGCATAACTTGTTTCTACAAATAGATGAAAGGAAGGAGGAGAACTAATTTAAAGGAGGTTCAAAGAGATTTGTTGGACACGTTACCACGGCCTACATGGATTTTGTTCAGATTTAAATTAGAATGCTTTTTAAATTTTTAAATTTATTTATTTTTAAAGAATGGTTTTTTTAAAAGGACAATTAACAATTGAGAATATTTGAACAATAATCGGCAGTTATATAAAGAAATTAACACATTGTAAATATTGTAATGATATTGGGTTATATTTAAAAAGTAATTCTCTGTCTTAGAGCTATATACTGGAATTTGCTTCAGAATAATCTAGAATGGTAGAGGAAGGGACTGAAAGGATGGATAAAGCATAAATTGAAGCTAGAAATGGGGGTGCGGAGGGGAGGCTCATGACATTACTCTCAGTTTTGCATTAGTTTGAGATTTTGCAAGATAGAAGCCAAACCCATAATGCAACATTTTTGAAAGAGGGTAACTGCACAAAATGTCAGTGTCATATATAACACATTTAGAAGTAAGATGGGCTTACTGTAAACTCACCTAATATTTTAATGGTATATTTTGTTTTTCTTCTCCAGAGCTGAAGCCATTTATTTGAATCTTGGCTGATTAACACCTAAATGCTTAATTCTCACATCTACTCAAGAGCTGCAAGGTCAGGATTAGACGACCCAAGTTACCACCGAGAAATTACCGTCACAAGTGATACGGTAAGGTTATAGTAAATATTCTAAATACTTAAGAGAAACTGGGGTCTGAAAGATTTTTAAATGGTATTACTTCAGCTACCAGCTTCTATTAAAATTTCTGACCTTGTGACTGGTATTCTAGAAGTGACTGTTATTGAAGGACTGTACTACTGTTATAATATAAAGGAAAATGGTGAGGGGGAGGGGTGTAATGGATACAGTTGTCACTGGAATGCTGTGCTTTCATAACTTTGCTGCATAAGTCAGGGTTGGCCTTCTGGAAAGCAAAGCTGAAAAGGGGGTTTAGTTTACACCTGGTTATTAGGGATGAACACATAAAGGAAAGAAGGTAGGAAGCAGATTGAAGAGAGAAAAGTGAATAGCAGCTTGGGCCAAACCTTAAAGAAATGCTGTAGCTAGGAGTTTTCTTCTCTTCCCATTATCTTTTCTTCTCTCGTTTTTCTTTTTTCTTTCCTTTCCTTTTCTTTTCTTTTCTTTTCTTTTCTTTTCTTTTCTTTTCTTTTCTTTTCTTTTCTTTTCTTTTCTTTTCCTTTCCTTTCCTTTCCTTTCCTTTCCTTTCCTTTCCTTTCCTTTCCTTTCCTTTCCTTTCCTTTCCTTTCCTTTCCTTTCCTTTCCTTTCCTTTCCTTTCCTTTCCTTTCCTTTCCTTTCCTTTCCTTTCCTTTCCTTTCCTTTCCTTTCCTTTCCTTTCCTTTCCTTTCCTTTCCTTTCCTTTCCTTTCCTTTCCTTTCCTTTCCTTTCCTTTCCTTTCCTTTCCTTTCCTTTCCTTTCCTTTCCTTTCCTTTCCTTTCCTTTCCTTTCCTTTCCTTTCCTTTCCTTTCCTTTCCTTTCCTTTCCTTTCCTTTCCTTTCCTTTCCTTTCCTTTCCTTTCCTTTCCTTTCCTTTCCTTTCCTTTCCTTTCCTTTCCTTTCCTTTCCTTTCCTTTCCTTTCCTTTCCTTTCCTTTCCTTTCCTTTCCTTTCCTTTCCTTTCCTTTTCTTTTCTTTTCTTTTTTCTTTCTTACTCTCTTTCCTTTCCTTTCTTTTCCTTTTCCTTTCCATTCCATTTCATTTTTATTTTTCATTGGAAAGGCAGATTTACAGCGTGAAGGAAATACCAAAATATCTTTGTCGGCCAGCTCACTCTATGAGTGCCTCCAATGCCTGAGGCTGAACTAATTGAAGCCAGGAGCTTCTTCTGGGCCTCCCACATGGGTGCAGGGTCGTAGGGCTTTGGACCATCCTCTGCTATTTTCCCAGGTCACAAGCAAGAAGGTGGATGGGAAGTGGAGCAGCCAGGACATGAACTGGCACCCACCTGGGATTCTAGAGCCACTATGCCAGGCCCCATTTCTTTCTTAACTAGTAAGTTTGTTTGCTATGGAGGTTTATCTTCAATGCTTCTGTATTCTGCAAAGGTCATACAGGAAATCTGTAGTCTCTTCTATAACCCCCGATTTCTGTCCTCTTGATCTCAACCCTTTCTTTCTTCCAGTGGAAAATTAACAACAGTGAGGTTGATTGGTGACAAAGCTGGTTGTCTTAGCTATCTTGAACAAGCAACATGACTTTCTCTTTAATTAGCTATATGCTACCATGTTTCTGGCCTCTATAGATAAGGAAGACATGCAAAGGGACCTGAAAAAACCCACAAACATAGGATGTAACGAGCATGAGATCATATCTTTAAAAGAGCGATAGAAAATACCATGAAAACAGTGGTAACTTACAGACTTATTAAGATACGGAGTTTGTGGTTCTAACCAGTTATGGTTCTATTGATAATTGGCTGTTTGTTTTCACCCTGTTAGAATCTGCTTAGAGGTACTCAACTTGGTGTTCGCTTCTATAATGGTTGAAATTGAAGTCTTTGACTTTACTGTATTGTTCCCTTCTGACTCACGGCTAGTCTTCTGAGACAGGATTTGCATTCATACATCCTTTCAATCTTCTTTAAACCTTAAAACTATATTAAAGCTTTACATGTATAGGGCCTTCAGTGCCTTTTAAATGAATGAAAAAGAGCGTAGTTGAGTTCATAAGTAATGTGGTAGAAGGATAGGGATTAAAAATTAAGAAATTCAGAACCAAGTATTTACTTGATACTGTTACAACCATTTTTTCCCCTGGGATCCATATAGGCCATTTTTGCTTAATCTTTTGAAATGTTAGGTAAATCATCTTATTCATGTTGAGTGTAAGGAGGATTAAATTGTACTTATGTTTTGAGTGAATCAGATCTTTGGGATTAGCATGAATATGTGTATTTCTAGAAGTTATAAATATGATAACTTCAGAATTGTACTTCTCTCTTCATTTCTTTCTTGCTCACTTATCACCCCCAGCAGAGGGCAGGCAAAGGAAGGGAGAGACGATAATAGTTTCGTTTTGCAAAGGCTTTTGCAGATGCCCTTCCACTAGACTGTTTGCAGTTCTGGATTACTTTAAGGCAGTAGAATCATCTGTTTTTGGCTAATTAAAAAGGCTTAGTGAAACATTCAGTTATTTTGAAAATAATTTATATAATGTTGATTACTGTTTTTTACTGAATTCAAATATTTATACTTCTTCGGTTTTATGTTCTTTAATCCAACTGTTTTAAATTACCAAGTTTTCCTGATTCATGTCAAGGTTCCCATCAGTACTGTTTATAAGTATGACTATCATTTGATTAGATTTTATTCATTTAAAAGTATATTGGAGGGTTGGACATTGGGTGTGGTGGTCATGCGCTGCTTGGGATGGCCATAACCTGTATCACAGTGCTTGGGTGTTCTCTGTCTCTTCTTCCATCTTCCTGCTCATGCACACCCTGGGAGGCAACAGATGATAGCTGAAGAAGTTGGACACTTGCCACCATCATGTGGGGAACTTGGATTGGATTCTAGGTTCCCAACTTGAGCTTGTCCCAGCCCTTGCTATTGGGAACATTTAGAAAATGGGTCAGTAGATGGGAGATTTCTGCCCCTTTGCCTTTAAATGAAATAAAATAAGAAAAAAAAAAAAGTAAAAGTACGTTAAATGGGCATTTAGCAGAATGGTTAAGACACTGATTAGGTTTCCTGGGTCCCATATTGGAGTGCCAGGGTTCCTGTTTGGGGTTCTGGCTGCTGATTCTAGAATTGGAGCTCTGAGTCTCTCATTCATATTTGTCCCACCTCTCCTCCACCACTCAAGTAATTTTTTTTGTAAAAAAGGGGATATTGAAATAGTCATAACACAGTGCAAGTTCTGTACAAGTTGATTTTTCTGAGGTCTCAGTGGATTTTCCAAAGGATAAGAATTATCTTTTGAAAACATGGTACTATTTCACACTTCAGGTGTATGTTTATTTAAAAGGAGGACACACCTCAGACTGAAGTAAATTGCTTTTTACATGATCACAGTGAATGATTTCATAGTCTAAATATTAAACTAGATGGATGCTAAACATTTTATGATCCTAGTATTGCTGTTAACACCCACTGTACATGTACACCTATATGTACATATGAAGTGCAGTTTCATGGTCTATAGCTGTTTGGCTTGTTATCAGTGTGAACAGTAAAAGTCCTAAAAATCAGCTTCCAACCAGCTGGCAGTTAGTTCACCTACTGGGCTTCAGCACCGCCTAAATGCACGTGACATTTCTTTGCTCTTTGACACAAATAGTCTACCTTCCACTTTCCCTCAAGGAAACTGGTGTAGGCACCTTTCTGCGTGCGTGTGGATCTAGCAATGTAGAAGAGCTTCAAGATGGACTTCCTAAAGAGAGTCGTTCCTCCCATTCTTTCAGTAGATGTAGGTTTGGATACTAGAGAGAGTGTTCGGGAAGATTCCCCAAGATTACTTAAGGTGAAGCGTCTTAGTTTGGTTTCATCAGAGAAGACAATGAATGAACAAAATGGAATCAGTGTTTATCATAGTCATTATGAAAAATACCGACGTCAAGAACTAGGTAAAGTAAAAATGTATTACTTTTAACTCTTTAAAAAGCATTTTAAGGAAATAGAACTTTTTTTTTTCATTAAGTACAAATCCTAGAGAGTGTGAATCTTTGGAAAAATGAGTTTTTAAGTATTAAGTGTTTTGCTGGCTCAAAAATTTTAATATTAAAATAGATGGGGAAATATTTATGCTACAACTCAAGATAAATTTGTAAGTTAGCAATTTTGAAAGTCTTTGGAAAGTATTTTGAGGATGAAATATTAGTAAAAAAATATGGTTATAAACTGTAGGATAAGAAAAAATAAAACTGTGTTTTATCTATCACTAAAGAAATTACTGAAATTTTATGTCATTGTCCCAAATATTGTGTATTTGGGGTGAAGTATAGAAAGTTAAATCTCTGACAGTAATGGTGATAATTTTGTGTCACGCTACTTGTGTTCCATATACTCCTTCAAAGTTGAATTTGAAACCCTTTAAAGTTTGGCAGGATGATATAGAATGTGATTTTGTGAAAAATATCAGTTTTGTGTCTTGTAACTAATGTGTATTGACAGAAAAGAAGATCCATTAGGAAGATAGAAATATGCTATAAGTTTTAAATTTTCTGATAAAATATTTTAAAATATTAAAGTAGTATTGCATAATCCTTAATTTTTATATTTTAGAGAATAATTACATAAAGCAATTTAATGTTTAGTGGAAGTGAGTTTATACATCATTTATAAGGATCATGTTTATTGTAACTTTTAATATTCACATGCTTTGAAACACAGTCATACAGATTTTAGTTAAATTTAGATATGAGATTCATTTTTCCAAGTGGTTCTGATACTTACCTTCTTGTTTAATGTATCATAGGATCTTTTGGTTTTATTTTAAAAGTGTTCCATTATATGGATACACTAATTCAACTTAGTTCTTACTAAAAACAATTATTAATATTTATGTGTCACTGTATACTTTTTGATGATAGTCTTTGTGAAAAATCTGTGTGTTTTAAGTTTTGATCAACAATGCCTTTGAAAATTTCTGAACTTAAGCTCCCCAGAGTTCCTATTTGTATTCTTAATGCTGTTTTATGTCATCTTACTAAATAGGGTCATATTTAGGAGAAGCTGTAATTTCTGTTAAAAATATGAACTATGTAAAGGAATGAAGGACTTGCTAAGTTTCTAAAATGAATACAAATATATCAATATCCACAATATAATTGTTTAAAACTCATCAGTTTCTGTAGCCTTCACTCATTTGGGAAGGTGAAGTGGAGGTGATGCCGCTTATGAATTAGTGTCCTTTACTTTCATTTAAAAATTGTTCGTCACCTGCCCTTAGTTTTGTGTTCCAAAGTAGATATATGCATTAGTAGGTATGTGACTATATGTCATCACTTAAGCTCTAGAAAATTTACTTTTCTCTGTTGGTCTTGAATGATTTCATTTTTTTTCACTGTACCACAAGCCATATGGTTGGGCTTGGTGTCTAAGTATAATATGTTCATTTATATGGTTTCTTATTTTTATCTTTGAATTTCTTTATTTTTTTCATTATGACTTTGTTATAGTCTTTTAAACAGTGGGGATATTACAAAGTATAATAATTAGATCTTATGATTTTATTACTCTGTAAATATTAAGCACTTAATGAATAAGACTTACCTGAGTATGTGCATTTACTGCAGTGGTGAGACTGCTGCTTGGGATACTGTAAGCCTATATTGGAGTGTCTGGTTTGAGACATAGCTCTTTCCTTCCATTCCAGCTTCCTGCTAGCATATTCCACATAGGTTCAGGGACCCAGGTATTATCATTAATTTCAGTAACTTCTTGGGAAGTTTATATAGAAAGATCTGATTTTAAGATACTTGATCCTTTGATTTCAAAATACTCACCAAAGCATTTCTATTGAATCTCAGAATTTGATGGCAAATTTGTAGGAATAGAACCTATATGACTAATCATTAAACAAGAAATCAGATTCACTTATGCTGAGTTACAAGAAACTTTTATGTTCTGATGGTTCTGGGACAGAGATAATGCAGTAATTTAGCCAGAATATCAGAAAACGGTACACATTACCTACAGAATGTTATAGTTTCTTTCATTTACTAAAAGAAGAAGTTGAGCATATGCAAAGATTTCATGAGACTAATACAAAAAGGAAGCCGCTATGTTAGGAAAAACTGATATGTAATCTTATAGCTGTTCATCAGTTGTTTCTGACTTCTGTAGTTTTCAATTAGCAATAATCGTGCCTCGGATAAGCCTCATTGGCTACAATACTGCCTCTGCCCAGAGCTTGACTTCTGTAGTTTTAATTCGGTACTTTAAAAGCTAATTCTGGGACATGCCTTGTGGAGCAGTAGGGTAAGCTGCTGCCTGTGACATGTCATTTCATTTTTGAGTCCCAGTAATTCTGCTTGGAAAAATAATGTGAAACATTCGGGGTGTGTGGGTCTCTCCCACACATATGGGAGATTGGGAACGAGTTCCTTACTCCTGGGTTTCGGTTGGTGTACCCTGGCTGTTGCAACTGTTTGAGAAGTGAATTAGTGGATGAGAGATCTCTTTGTCTTTTTCTCTCTGCCTTTTAAATAAATAAAAATAGATTTTGAAAAAAGTTATTTCTGGGGCCTGGTGGAATAGTGGAGTGGTTGAAAGTCCTCGCCTTGCATGCGCGGGATCCCTTATGGGTGCCGGGTTCTAGTCCCGGTAGCCCCACTTCCCACCCAGCTCCCTGCTTGTGGCCTGGGAATGCAGCTGAGGATGGCCCAAAGCTTTGGGACCCTGCACCCGCATGGGAGTCCTGGAAGAAGCTCCTGGCTCCTGGCTTCGGATTAGCTTAGCTCCAGCCGTTGTGCTCACTTGGGGAAGTGAATCACTGGATGGAATATCTTCCTCTCTGTATATCTGACTTTGCAATAAAAATTAAATTGTTTAAAAAAAGTTATTTCTGAAGTGTTCTATATAATTGTAATATGTACTGACAATTGCACTTTTGTGAGAGGATCGGCTGCAAATATGGAAAAGCTACCTTTATTTTTTTTTTTTAAAGATTTATTTTATTTTTATTGGAAAGGCGGATATACAGAGAGGAGAGACAGAGGAAAAGTGAGCGCAACGGCTGATGCTATGCCAATCTGAAGCCAGGAGCCTCTTCCGGGTCTCCCACGCAGGTGCTGGATCCCAAGGCTTTGGGCCGTCCCCAACTGCTTTCCTGGGCCACAGGCAGGGAGCTGGAAGGGAAGCAGGGCTGCCGGGATTAGAACCGGCACCCATATGGGATCCCGGGCGTGCAAGGCGAGGACCTTAACCACTGCGCCACCGCGCGGGGCCCTACCTTTATTTTTAACTACAGATTTACAGATGTTTATGATCTAACAAAAATTGTGCAGAATTGCTATACTGGTAGGAAGTCAATATTTTAAAGAATACTTTAACTAAAAACTTTATTTGAAGGACAGAGACAGGGAGCTCTTCCGTCTGCTGGAGGATCCCTCTGACCTCCAGTTACCAGAAACAGCTGGGGTGGGGGAGGCTGAAGCCCTGAGCCTGGTAATTGGCTCCAGGTCTCTCATTTGGGTGGCAGGGAAGGGGCCCAGCTACTTGAGCCTTTACTTGCTGCCTCCCAGGGTGGTGTTGCATTAGGGGGAAGCAGGATTGGAAGCAGAGCCGAAACTCAAAGCCAGGCACACTGACATGGGATGTGGCGTGATCTAAGTGGCATCTAAAGCACTGCACCAGATGTCTACTCTTGTTGAAGTTTTTCAATGTTTACCCTTCTTCAAATGCTAAATTGCCTAATATTTAATAAATTTTAAACATTTTCAAACAACCTGCCAGCTTTTTATTCCTTTATAAAACAACTTCCCACCGTTACTGTTACCCAAGAAGCTGAGGTGTGACTTCCCAAGAACTGTCTATATTATTAATCAAAACTGTGTGTGCCTTATGGAATTTAAGCACAAACTAGACCATTTGGTAAACTATGACATTGAAAAGAATTATTTTCAGGTCTGTGAAATATAAGGTTGAATGAATTTTGCATTTAGATCCTTTAGCATCCCATGCTGCTTTTTAGAAATTGGAACCGGAAATTACGACTGATTTAAGTGGGCTTTGTTTCAGACAACAAAGACAATGATATGATTAACAGTCCACCTTGAAAGATTGGGTTTTGGCACAACATCAGAAGCCTGGGGATTATACATGAACTTTACATTTTAAGTTAAAATAAAACCTTTAATGGACCTCTTGATCGATCTTTCTTCTGATTCCTACTTTAATGGTGCTTTTAAATTAAATGATTAGCCAAGCAGCTGCAATTTACAGTAAAGGGACTCTACTATATGTAACTGTATCATATCTTTCATTCGCCAAATCTACTTCCTCATTAAAAAGTCAAAATGATCACATTATTTTGTGTAACCCTGTTCATGTCCTGATTAGATATCCTTATACTTTTTGTATTCAGTCCTTGTAATGTGACCAAGGATTGATTTTACTGATACTTTTTCCAATTCAAGTAATATTTATTTTCAGGCTTAAAAGTTGATGAAAAGGAAATGTCCTTTATTGATTCAGAATGTCTCACAGTGTTTTTGGACTATTGAAGAATAGTGAATGACAGATACAATCAGTTAGTCCTCATTTGATGGTGTGTATGCTTCTGTAGACCTCTTTATGACAGCTGCCATGTCCTTGTATCTCCAGGTTCAAGTGTTTTTATTCTGATGGAAACACTCTTGATTTTGCTATTGTGCATTGTATTTGGAATCAAACATTAAGTATTAAATGTGATAAAAGTAGAATACTCATGTTTATAATCTTCAAGAACAGAGGCAACAATCTATTGAACATAAGACAGTATATATCAACCTTAAGGATGAAAGAAACATGAGTGCCTTCCGTGTTCTGCTCAGTATTTGTTTTGTGTTACCAAAAAGATAATTTTACTTGTGTAACTACTTAGTACATGTCTGGTCCTTTTTCTAGCTTGCATAGAATGTGA